TATTTTTTTGTGAATGTATATTTTACTTTTTCGTAAATTTTCCAATTGTCACTCTTTATTTTGAATAAAATCAGGCGACCCCTCAGCTCATGGACCGATCAAAGCTTCCGGACATTGTCGACCAATCCATCAAAGACACTATCGATTTGAAACATTTATATCAAGTGAGTTGCTTAAAACAATATTTCATATAGGTCCATTTTTATATCAAGCTTTTTGTTTTTCCACGACACGTTCTTAGTTTTTATTTTATTTGTATTTTATTTTGATAGGTGGCTGCTATAGCAGTGCTATGTGTACAACCAGAGCCAAGTTACAGACCACTTATAGCAGACGTTTTGCACTCGTTGATACCCCTTGTGCCCGTCCAACTCGGGGGATCTCTCAAAGGTTGATGTATTTCTGTTCATAGCTTCAATTTGTTTTCACTCATAAAATGTTTTGGTATTACAGAACTAGTTGAAGATGCATGTTTTATACGAAATCATATGAAGATTTATAGAAAATTAAAGGTGTTGATTTTGCTCATACTTGTAAATTTTACCATTACACATACCAAACAAAGTTTTGTTTTTTCGATCATGTTTATTCATGGCACAGGATTTGAGCCTGATTGTGTGGTTGGTGTTTTTGTTTCTTGAATGTTTCAATGATTTTAATGCTGTGAAAATTGTTCCAACTAACTGAATCCATATGTTTGAAAAATAACGGTGAAATTGCAGCTTCAGTTTTTGACAATTTTAACCTAATTTTTAACTAATCGCAAAACAAACACGAACTTACTTTCAATTTCAGTGATGGATCTAGGAATTTTATCGAAGGGGCCTAATTAAAAATTTAAAAAAAAAACATTAACATTGTAAATAAATAAATCAGTGCAAGTACTGATTAAATAAATATAATATCCATGTATTTCAAAAAATAACTTACGAGAACATTTAAAGATCACGATATTTTTCTTCTATTTTTCAATGCTCCTTAAAGATGGAGAAAAAATATTAAAGAAATTACACAACAACAAATTTGTCATTCAAATGTCAATTAAAGTATATGGCCCTCGAAAAAAACTATGTGAGAAAAATTAAAATTTATGAGAAGCCCACTACATTGGACCTCCATCCTCAACAATCAACATAGGCAGTGTTTGGTTGGGCTGATTGGGCTTGATATCAGCCCAATACATATAAATTCAACAAGTTTAATTTGTTTGGTTGGAGGTTTGATAGCCTTTGATATGGCAAAAGCCCGCTCCACAATACACCTTTTTGTTATGCCTATATCCCACATTTTTTCCTGATACAATAATGAGCCCATATCCTTCAAAATTGCAATTACTAAAATGCCCCCGAAATATAGACTTTAGGTCTTCTGCTCCCTCATTCACGCCACTTTCGACCGCAAGAAGCTCGGAGTTTGCAGATAACTTTACTCCATGGAATCGTCCTAATTTTTGCATTCTGTTTTCTCCACACGGTAATATCCTCACCTCGTCGATGATTTTGCTATTTTTCCTTCAATTTTGTTTGTCTTCAGCCCCCTGTTCGTCAAAATTTCCCCTTTTGCAGCACTATTTTAAAACCCTAATTTATGTATATGTTCAATGTTTGCGAGATACATTCTTTTTCTCATCGGTTAGCCTTGTTTCGCATTTAAAGAAATGTAAGTATCACGATTAATTTAATTCCTGCAATTGTATATATATATATATTTTGCTATTTTTGCTGTTTGAGTTATGGATCTGAAACTTTTTCCCGTCACATTCACAGATTCATGTTTACATGTCACGATACTAGCTAGAGACCGTGGATTGTCGTTTCTGACCTACAACAACAAATTAATTTACAGGTTTCAAAATAATATCTCTTTCCTTCCACTTCAAGTTGTTGTCATGCTTCTGGGACTGCTATTATAAAATTTAGCAGAAACATAATTTATACATTCATGCCTGTTATTTCATGTTACTGATATCTCCTTTTTGGTTTTTTTATTTTTTTTTGTTTGGTTGTTTCCATTTTTGCTTTATGACATAGCTAAGTACCCAAGCTCTTGTTTAGAATGGCCCAGATTTCCAAAACAAAAGCCGAAATTTTTCTTTTGATAGAGGAAATGATGAATGTGTCAATATTTTTTATGAATATGGTCATTAAGATGCGAAAGCAGAGCCGTAAACCATTTACAAATGAAATTGAGAAGAGAGTAAGATACGTGATGGCAAATAGAATCCCTAAGAAAATTGAGCATTTGAACAATTTGGTGGCACTTAATGAAACTGAATGCTTGGAGAATTTGCGAATGACCAAAGGAGCTTTTTCTAGGCTGTGTTACATACTTTCGAGTGCTGGAGGGTTGAGTGATTCTAAATATGTTTTAGTAAGTGAGAAGGTCGCATTCTTTCTTTCAATTATTGCCCACCACAAAAAAAAAATGAGAGTAGTTAAGTTTGACTTCAAGAGGTCCAGCCAAACAGTAAGCATTTACCTACATGAGGTTCTAGCAGCTGTTTTGCGTCTTCATTCAATTCTGCTTGTTAAACCGGAATCTGTTGAAAATACGCTGGACAACAGATGGAAGTGGTTCAAGGTACAAAAAAGCCACCATTTTATTTGATTTTAAGTTAGTTTTAAATGTTTTAACACAAATCACATAAATTAATAGGTCATTTCAATTTTTTAGGGGTGTTTAGGTGCTCTAGATGGAACTTACATTTAAGTAACAGTACCTGAGGTAGATCAGCCAAGATACAGAACAAGGAAGGGTCAAGTTGCTGTAAATGTCCTAGGAGTTGTATATCGAAATTTAAATTTTGTCTATGTTCTATGTGGGTGGGAAGGGTCTGTCGCGGATTGTCGGGTGTTACGGGATGCTGTAGACCGACCAAATGGTTTAAAAATTCCACGAGGTAATTTAAAATTCAATAGAGTGTAGTTATTCCATTAAGATGTCAAAGTTCAGTGCATAATTAAATTACATAACTTGTTTCAAAACAGGTAGTTACTATATTTGCGATAACGGTTATACAAATGGAGATGGGTTTCTAACCCCTTACAAGGGAGTAAGATATCACTTAAAAGATTGGGGAGCTGGAAGATTATCACCTCAGACACCGGAGGAATTTTTCAATATGTGTCATTCAAAAGCACGAAATGGTGTGGAACGTGCTTTTGGGATTTTAAAAAAAAGATGGGCGATACTTCGTAGTCCGAGTTTCTATGACATTAAAACTCATAATAGATTAATGATGGCATGTGTTCTACTTCACAATTTCATCCGACTTGAACTTCCTAGTGACCCGTTAGAGACAAATGACGAGGAGTCTGTTGACACTGCTAATGATGATGGGGACGACCCTTCCTTAATTGATGTTGTAGAGACCTCAAACGAATGGTCGGAGTGGAGGGACAAGCTTGCTAATGAAATGTTCAACGAATGGAGATGTATTAGATGATATGTGACTTTAATTTGGAGACATGTAATTTAAAATTTACCTTCATTGTGTTTGCTCTGCACTTCTTATATGCAATTTGAGGCTTGCTATTTAAATGTCTAAATGTGTGTCCAATATGTTTCTCAAACTCTGAATTGTCATGTTATAAGAATTGTTATTTGTGGTACAACCTCTATTTGTACTACTTCCAGGTAATATTGTTCAGTTGGAATTGTATATTGTGGGTGACTAAGAATGGATATGGGTGGTGGAGCAAGGCAAAAAGTGAGAAAGCAAAGGGCAGACAGAGGAAGGAGAAGTTGGAGCAGGCAAGAGGAAGAAGTTCTAATTGGGGCTCTGAAAGGAATTGTCACTACTGGATGGAAAGCAGATAATGGATTCAGAATGGGGTTTTTGAACGTTCTAGAACAGGAACTGAGGAAACAAATGCCTGAAACTGATTTACAAGGAGTGCCACACATCAACTCCAAGATTCATGTGTGGAAGAAAGACTACGCCAGCTTGTGCACAATGCTTGCAAGGTCTGGCATAGGTTGGAATGAAAGCACAATGACGATCGAGACAACGGACGACACATGGGCTGATTATGTTAAGGTAACCAATTTGTAGTTTTTACTTAAATGGTCGTTGTACTTGCTAGATTTGCATTTATTAAATACTCCTCTTACAGGTTGATGGAAATGCTCGCTTAATGTGATATAAAAGTTGGCCATACTACTATGACTGGATCCACATTTTTGGAAAAGATCGGGCGACGGGCGAACAAGCCGAGGACATTCTCGATGCGGTCAGCAATGTCAACATTGGAAATCCTGATATATCACATACCCCAGAAACACAACCAACTGATGATTTTGGACTTGACCAAGATGAAAATGTTCCAGAAACATTGTCTGAAAACATCCCGCCTTTCTCAAGTGGAGGTAAGAAAAGTAGCGGCCGCAAACGGAAATCAATTGAATCTGCTGATCCTTTATGTGATGTCATGAGAAGCTTCTCTGAAAATACTAGTGCTCGGTTATGTGAAATTGCAAAACGAATCGGTTATGAGTACGATGTGTCCCAAGCACGAAAGGATGTGTTTGTTGTAGTTCGTGGCATTGAGGGTTTGAACTTGCAGGAACAACTTTTCATATCGAAGATACTTGTGAAGAACACGGATGAGCTAGACTTGTTCTTCAGCTTGGATGAGGGTGCAAAAGCAGAATTCGTTCGGATGAAATTAACAGGGACCTTTTAGTTATGCAGTATTTCTCGAGATCA